GGCCTCAAACCAAGCTGAATCCAACTTTGAGTAAGAAAATCTTGAAGGGCTCCTGTCCTCAAAGATTATACACAATCATCCCAGTTACGTACTGAGATAAATTAGCGGAAGCACAGAGTCCAACTCTTTGGATAGGGACATAGATCTCAGAAGCTCAACAAAGTTGAGAAGAGGAAATCCCTGGATTTCCTGTAGATTCTGTTTTGGGTAGTGGGAACATCGGAGAACACACTCTGCCACCCGTTTCTTGTGTTGGCATCACTCGTGCTGACGTACCTCCTTTGTTGGCATGACTGTCATCCCTGTTCAAAGAGCAGGGAAGTGAAAGAGAAGATGTCTGAGTGTCTCCATTACTAAGTCTAAGTACTTCACTACTGCCTCTCTGGGAAGATGAACTTGACTGGAAGGAGAGTGGACAGGCATTCGGTCAAGCCACAGGCCACTTACAGAAAACCAGCAATGGATGGGGAAAGGGGGCGCTCCTTGGACTGGTCCACCCAGAATAAGTGGGGGATTAGGGGAAGAAAGAGCACAGTTGGTGGATCTCCAGGGTGCTCCTGAGAACAACCTTCAGATCATGAGCTCAAGGCTCAGTTCCAAGGCTCAGCTCAAGGCATCCGTGATGCCTGCTTAGAGGGCAATGCACCCTGCCTCAGGGATAGAAGCCCACAGAACGAAGGGCTCTGGATTTCTAAGCCGGAATCCCATTAAGGGCTGGAAGACCCTTTTGTTGGAAAGCTAACTGTCCTCCATCCAGGGCTGCCGACTACACAGCCTGTTACATCTAGAGAGAGAGATGTGGACCAGCTCCCTGGCTTCTCATGCTCCTGCCACCCTTATGCTCTAAAGAGCCCAAGAAGCAGTAAAAGAACACTTCCTTGGGTCAGAAATCTCAGCTGAAGAGGGGATTTTTATACAAGTCCATGCTTCCTGGTCTCTTAGGAGCCTCTAGGAAGATGCCCTAAATAACTCTTATTGAATTGAAAGAAGGGTGAAGTAGGCACAGAACCAAACACTGGGAAAAGCATGGATTGAAGAGGGGTAGTCAGACCTCCGCGCGGAGAATGGAACCAGGCATAGATCTCAGCCCCTCACTGGAGGTCTGACTTTACACAGATGTGCAGGGACCTACACCCTCCCCTCTTTGCAGGTGGGGACAGGGGAACATAGTAACCACCACCACTACAGGACAAGCGGTCATTGTCTTACTTGTCCATTACTATGCTGGAATAGTTACAGATTCCTTTAAACAGATTGTCCCTTATCTTTGCTCTCTAAGTCTGGCACAGGCCATTGGTGACAGGCGATCAAGTTCTCACCTGAGCCTCAGTGGGCTGGGGATTCCTGCCTGTGCTATTCATTCACTCTCATTCCAAACCAGCATCTACGACGAAGCTGTAACTCCGCAACTAAAAGCCACTCTACTCACCCCCGCTGCGGAGGCCTGCTTCTCCCGGGCCCTCGAATCCGATCTCTTTGGTATGGGCCTTGCAGTTGGAACCCACCCGCCTCTCTTTTTTTCTACCCCTGCAATTAACATAGTCCCTCCTCTATTGCCTCACCAACCATGTTAGAACCAAAAAGTCTTTGTCTATTCATAGACACTATAAAAGTAACATTCGTTTTATGTTTTTTAATCTAATGTCTGCGGCTTTCACGATTCTCATTGGCTTATCTAATCAGTTTGTCCTCGGGAGCTTTATCACCGGCCCCTTTAGCTTGTCCAAACACAACAGAGCCAGTGGAGGCAACTCCCTCAGCAGAATGAGCTACTCTAAAATAGACAATTCTCAAGAAAGATGTCAGAACTTTTGCCTCTTTCCTCCAAGGACCTGAACCTTCCACGTCCCACCTCCTCTCCAGCTCAGCCAACCCCAAATCCTGATTCTTTAGAAAAGGATATGGACAAGGAGATCAAAGAAGTCATTTGAGCTCTGGCTGAGTGGCTCAGTTGGTTGGAACATCATCCCAGACACCAAAATGTTGTGGGTTCGATTCCCAGTCAGGGCACATACCTAGGATGCGGGTTCGGTCCCCAGTGGGGGCACATACAGGAGATAGCCAATTGATGTTTCTCTCTCTCTTTCCCTCTCTCTAAAATCAATAAACATACCCTTGGGTGATGATTTTCAAAAAAGAAGTCATTTGAACAAACCAAATCCTGAAAAATGTGACATACTTTGTGGTTTTTCTAAGTTTTATGCTAATTTTGGCCTCATTTTTATTATTTCCTTCTCTGTAAGTAGGGAACATTTGATGAGGGAGTAAACAGTGAAAAATAGGAAATTTGGAGGGAGGCAAGAAGAGGCAGTGAAAGTAGGTGTAGATTGGCAGGGGGAGTGAGCTCACCAGCTGGGGGAGGTGAAGCATGCTGGGACGTCTCCAGCAGTGAGGCAAGGCCAGGTACCAGGCGTTGGGCACGGTACTACACACACCTTCCCTCATTTAACTCTCTCAACTGTCCTTTGAAAAAGATTTTCACTCGCAACCTTGCAGATATGGAAACTGAGGCTCAGAGAATACTTGCCGTGGACTCTTAGACACAGAGGAAGAGAGGGGTCAGAAGCTCCATTAAAAAATGAACTCCAACCCCTTCTTCCACAAGCCCTTCTGTGGAGTCTCTGAGTGTCTTCAGACCCATAGTTCATGGATTACTTTCCCTTTCAGAAAGGAAACTTATCTTCTGGTTTTAAAGTCCTCACTTTATTCCTGGAAGACATGAAGTTTACCCTCAGTGAAGAAGCCATAGCCTTGGACCTAGGGCCACCTACAGAAGACATGTGGAAAGGTGTGTTTCAGAGGCCATGGTTGAGATATCACATTAACCCTGCATCCTAGTTTCTCTCAATAATCCATGGAATTAAAGACTGGCAAGACTAGGGTGAGCAACTCATCCTGGTTTGCCTGAGACTATCCTTTGCTCTTTTGTTTTTTACAGAGTAGCAAGATGGGTTTAAAGTGATTCATCTTAGATTTTGTTCAGTGGGGTACTGGAAAGCAAAGTTTGATTTCACAACTTGATAAACAAGCTGTGTTTACTCCAGGAGCTGACCCAAGTTCAGTTCCACCTATTGGTCCTTGCTCAACTGTTTGAGGTACTGATTGCCTGCCAGGATGCCTAGTCTGGGGCTGACCCTTTCCACTAGAGATAGAAGTATCTCTTCTTGCAAAACACGCCTGACTTTCACTCTCTATGAACACTTCAAAAGCCGGGATTCCCACTGAAGAGCCCACCTGAAGATCTTTCTAAATCAGGTGCCCTTGGCTGCCAAGCATGTGGGCAACCTAAAATTCCAGAGGAGGGTCAGCCATATCTGAGCTACCTTGTCCTTTAAAGAGTGTCAAGGTTTGATGGCCAAACATTGAGAGAGTGAAGTCTTGTCCCTTCACTCCCCCAAGAAAGGCAGGGACCATTGGACCACTGGTAATCATAGAATTTTCAAAGTACATTAAATCAGTTTAAACATAGGCCTACAACTCCAATAGTTCTGAAATACCTGCAGGCCAGTCTCAAGACCAACTGCTATCTCACCCAATTATTTCACCCCTACCCACCAGAGTTGTTTTGACCTTTCCACTTCAATGGATGACCGTAAAAATGGGATGCCAGATGCCAGGATGGTGACCCTGAGAGCCAGCCCACTGGGATGGGTAGGAATTAGCACCTCCCTCACGTTCCCAGGTGATGCTAATGCTGTTGGTCAGGGGACTACACTCTGAGAATCACTGCTCTAAACCTGACAATTTAGAGGAAATGCAGAAGGCAGAGGGACCTAGTAACACGATGAGGATGCATTAAAACAAAAATTCAGACTCTAAGAAATAGATCATTTATCAAATAAATTATAAGGGAAGAAAGCAAGCAAGAAAAACCTAGAGATTAAAGATTTAATAGGCAGAGAGAGCGGCCAAGATTGCAGTGCAGTCGGGGTATAAGCATTGTCCTGAATGTGAAACTGGACTTCCACGTCTACCAGAGCCTGCCATGGGCCTCAAACAGTGGCCACGGGCTGGAATTTGGGCCACTCCGCTTACACTGGTCATGGCCAAGTCACTTTAAAAGTGAAGATCCCCTGTATCAACTTGAGTGTAAAATATCAGGCAAGCTCTTTGCCCAGACACCAGTAGAACAACATCCTGGCACTGCTGAGGAGACAGTGAGATTCTAGTTTGTGTTGTAATCCGGTTCCAGGACGACATTGGGCATAGTGTTTTCACTGGCATTTCCTTCAAAGGTCAAGACAGTGTCTTTGATTTTAATATCCTTTTGCAAAATTATTTCAAGTGAGATGTCCAAAGGATCTGAAATCAAATATGGCTCTTAAAAACTACTCCCTCAACTTCCTGTAGTTCAGGATATACAAATTCTATGTATGTAGCTATATTGTATTCAATTACTGTTGCACTTAGCTTAAAATAAGGATTGCTATTGTATTTAAAAGAATCAATGAATGTTACTAATTGTGAAACGGAACATTTTGCGTGCCACTTATAAACATTACCTATAAATCGGCACTTTCTTAAAACTTTACTAATAACAGGAATTAAGTATGGAAAATTAAATGTAAAATATGACCCTGGGGGTACAAATCTTTGAGAGGTTGTAAACTCCTTCCCTCAGCACGTCTAAGTCCAGAATTTTGACAGGGATAGGGACAGATAAAGACGTCTTTCCTGGTCACTGTTCTATACCCTTTTCCCACACATCCAGAGCCGAGTGCAGCTCCATCACCCTCTTGTGCATTCACATCTCTTCTTAAGAAAAGAAGGTTGCGTCAGTGGCTCCTCCACTATTTTCTGTTGGTTGAAAAGTGAAACATTTTTGGATGAGTTGAAAAGTTATACTGGGTTGGTCAAAAATTGTTTGGTTTTTCCTGTTAAGATGGCTCTAGTAGCACTTAGTTGTCTTTAATTTCATTTGAAACAATTTTGTTAGATTGTATTGTGACAGCTGTCATATCAACGTGCATTAAAAAACTTCTCAAAATCGGTGGGTTTTTGTTTAGCCATTTTAATATTGAAGATGGAAGAAAATATGCAACATTTTTGGCATATTATGCTATTTCAAGAAAGTTAAAAATGCAACTGAAACGCAAAAAAGGATTTGTGTAGTATATGGAGAAGGTGCGGTGACTGTGTGTGTGTTAAAAGTGGTTTGCAAAGTTTTGTGCTGGAGATTTCTCACTGGACGATGCTCCACGGTTGGGTAGACCAGTTGACAGCAATCAAACTGAGACATTGAGCTTTTTGACCAACTCAATAGCTTCAGCTATCTGACACGTTTTCCAAAATGAGGGCTTTGATACCCATCACCTAAAGCATCTCAAAAGCAAGTTGCTCTGCATCACTTTTCTTTCCCACTGTCCGGTCTTTCCATATACAATTCTCCTCAGCTGCATAGGCACCATCTAGTTCATTTATGGACAATTTGAGGCAGAAATAAAACAAGATTTTTTTTTTTTCCCCCATAGCACCTATTTGGATGCTTATGGACCAAATGTTTTATGTCCCTTAAAATTCCTATGTTGAAATCTAATCCCCAATGTGATGGTACTTGAAGGTGGAACCTGTGGGAGGTAACTATGTCTGAGTGTGGGGACCTCATGAATGGGATTAGTGCCCTTCTACGAGGCCAGATAGCTAGCTTACTCTCTCTGCCATGTGAGGATGTGAGAAGTCAGCTGTCTGTAACCAAAAAAGCACCCTTTCCAGAAATGACCATGTTGAACCCCGGTCTCAGAATTCCAGCCTCCAGAACTGTGAGAACTAAATTTTTGTTGTTGATTAGCCACAGTTTATGGTATTTTGTTACAGCAGCCCAGACTAAGAAATTCTTACACTCTGAATGAAGGATATCCTTATAGCTTCAAAGTATATTCTCTCTCCTTGACTTCCATCTTCTATCTCTTCCTAACTTTGGGTCCATTTTATTTTTTAATTAAACTCCCCCTCCAGCAGCTCTATTCTTGCCAAGCCATGGCAGAGCATCTTTAAATTAATATTTCTAATAGAAAACACCAAAGGGAAAACCTCTATTATCACTAGTGACTAGATATCGGGATGCTGTGTTCTCAGTCCTCCTCCATGCTGTGTTCTTTGTATCCTCAGGACAGTAATATACATTTGAATTGCTGACACATTGAAAATAAAGTTTAACATATATGCATCTAAAGCATATTGTCTTTCTCTTGAACTTTACCCAAATACACATGTCTATTTGGGTAAATAGGCATTTACCCAAATGTCTAACAAAACATTTATTTGACAATCAGGGAAATCTGAACACTGGGTATTTGATGAATTCGTTTTTTAGGTGTGATAGTAATATTATACTCTTCTTTTTTAAAGAATTCTATCTTTCAGTACTAAAATACTTTAGGATAAAATGATAAAATGACAAAATGACACCTTAGGTTTGCTTCAAAATAATCTGGAGGGGAGTTTGAAGGGGGGTTATAGATAAAAAAGATCAGTCTTGAATCGATAAATATGGGCACATGGAGACTCATTAACACTCTTTCTTCATTTGTACAGTACAGTTTCCAATAATAATAAATAACAGAACACAGAGTGACAGACGTATTTACTCTGACTCCAGGCCTCACCCCAAGCTCCCCAGTCTTCTGGAGAGAAAGAGAGGCCAACCTCCCAGGCCACCCCTCTGAGCACCTGAGCACCTGTCAGTCCCTGGGAGCAGCGCTGCCTGTTTCAGCTGGCGTATGTGGTAGAGACGGAGGAAGGCTGGGTGCATTACCGTGCTTCTCCACATACACAGAGGAGCGAGCGATAGAGAGCATAACACCCACAGGGAAGCAGGAGGGGCTGCTCATTCTCAGATCCTGTGTTCTCTGGGAGTCCTGGGCCTATTTAGCAGGGCTCCAAGTATTCTGTGCTATGAAGTTTCCTTGGGAGGAACGTATGTGCTGTGATGGTGATCGCATCACTAGCCCAGCTCCAATGACTGGCCTGAAGAGCAGTGGAAGACCCAGGAAGCAGAGGCTACCTATGCTCGGCCCTCCTATCTCCATAAATGAAGGCAGGTGCTGAGCCCCGGGTCTAGCCAGTGCTTTCCCCCCTTGCTCACAGTGATGAACTGCAGGTGAATCTGAGGGACACAGCATTTCACTGGTCACTACAAAGAGAGGCCCTCAAACTTGGCACAGCATCCCTTCTCTCTTCCTCTGAGCTGAATGGCCCAGGACCCACTCCCAACACCACACAGAAAGCACTGAAGCATATGTTGCTTTAATCAAGGGGTGAAGTCCTCAATCTGGGGGACCTCACTCAACCTTTGGTGGAGGGGGTTCTCAGCCTATTTCCCACATGCCCTGAGGGTCCTCAGGAAGGAGGGAGCAGCTAGACAGTGAATTCTGGCAAAGGCCAGGGACTGGAAATAGGGAGCCCAGGTCAAGAGGCAGGGGCAAGGCATTGACAGGTGGAGTGAAGCTGAATGGGGGCCAGAACAGCTTGACACACACGCTTCTACCTGGGGGCTGGCTGAGGTGGCTGTGCATCGAGCAGAGCGGCACCAGGAGGGCTGAGGGCAGAGGGAGACAGCGGGGAAAGGCGCATTCAGGAGATGAGGCGACCGTGCAGCTGGTGCAGCTGCTCCTGGGTCAGCACCAGCCGGTGTCGCTGTCCAAGGCCAGCCGCACATGAGAAGGTCACTTTGCCCATGTAGACAGTGTCGTCCTGCTGCTCCTCCTTGGCCTGGGAGTTGGTGAGGAGAAGAGACCCCCCCGAGTCAGGGGCTCACTTGAACTGTGTGCCACCGACAGAGTCCCTGAGCCCGGAGACCAAGGCAGTCCCTGGGAGATAGGTTTTGGGGCTCCTGGGCCATGCTGATCACATTTTCCCAATCAAAATTGGGGGACACCGTCTGACAAGGGAGTTTTGAGTCCTCCTTGGTGTCAAAAGTCATATAAGAAGTTAAACTGCTATATAGTGGAATTTCTGGAAACAGTGTAAGAACTCTTGAGTTGAAACTTGGCCAGATAACTCAGGATGTGCAGTTGCTGGACCTGAGACCCCAGAAGCATCTTCAAATTCTGGGGGAGAGGGGTAGGAACCACCTGTGCCCCCATACTGCCCATCCCACTCCCCTTGCTCCCTCTTACCCTGAGGAAGGCTGAGGAAGGGAAGGTGGCGAAGTCAGTGGGGACTGTGGCTCCAGGGCGCTGCGATACAGTCTCCTTGAGGACCTCATCCTGATGGCAGAGGAGGGGAACAAGGGTTCGTTTAGGGGACCCCCAAAGCCTAGCCCATTATCTCCTCAGTTTCACATGGCCACTAATACCAGCAGCAGGGACCCAGTCCTCTCTACTACCAAACTTATGCTATCACCTCCGACCCCATCTCCACCCCATCCTTATTTTAAAGATACTTATCCTTTAAGGTCAAACACAGATTCTATAGGTTCAGGGGAGCCACCCCCAACTATTCTACCCCGTGGTGACCTCAGCTCTGACAGAAAGACAATTCTGCTCAACCCATTTTGTTGATGAGAATCTGCTTTCTGTTTGCACCGAGACAGTGAGCATCCAAGGCAGGAACCCCACCTTCCCTTCCACTGCCCCTGCAAAATGCCATGCAGCACAGGCTGGGCTCAGAGGAACTCCAGATGCCTGTGGAAATGAATGTGCAAGGGCTCCACCAGAAAATGCTCTAGGGCAAACTCTGTAGGGTGAGGAAGGGCAGAGTCAGAGCTGACCTTGAGCTTCTCGATGGTGTCGCTTAGGGACTTGAGCTGAGCCACTTGCTCCAGGAGCTGGGCCGACGGGCTCTTGGCAGCTGTGGGGAGAAGAGGCTGGTGAGACCCAACAAGGCCTGCGCAGGTGGATGTCCTGGATTAAGGGTCAGTCGTGCAAGTACTGGACCTTCTTATGGAACAGGCACATAAGAGTGGATGAATCAAGCACACTGAAAACTGAGACCAAAGGGCAGTGTGGGAATTTCCTGGGCAGAGACAAGGGGAGGGGCTGAGTTATGCATCAGGGGGTTGGCGGGTCCATACCAGGGTTGGTGCGAGTGATGTCTACTACGTGGGTGTGTGTACTCAGCTGATTCAATGTTTCCAGCAGCTGGTTGGTCTTACGATACAGCGCTCCAGTTGCTAACTCCCTGCCAGGACCCTCATGGGGCGGGACGGAGAGCTTTGCCACATGCAGAGGGGGCAGAGCTGCTAAAGAGGCCTTCATTTGGGCACCCTGTTGGAGGGAGGGGGGAGAAAGGTGGTGGTAAGAAGTGAGAGAAGATCCTGCCATCTATCATCAATGGGACAGGTAGGCTCTACCTCCACCCCAGTCCTCCCTGTGACCCCCTCACCTTGAGGATGCTGTTCTCATGCTGGAGCTGGGAGATGTGCAGCCTCATGGCAGAGATCTGCTGAAGCAGCAATGGCGAGTCCTTCACTAGCCCCGGGCCTGGCAGAGACCCCAGCACCTGCCCAGGGGCGCCTCCTGTAGTCCCACAACAAAGGTCATCCATCTCAGGAGAGGGTAGAATGTGGGCTCCATCTATGCTCATCCCCTTTCCTTATCTCCTCCCAGCCCCAGGCCTGGCTGCTCCCGAGGACAAAGTCTCACTCTGCTGCCCAAGCTCCAATTCCCACCAGCCCTGGCAACCCCCCTCCGGGGCGGCTCGCTACCTCGCTGCTGTTCTTCTGTGCTCAGGAGAGCCCATGGGAAGCAGGAAAAAAGGAGAAAGGAATTAGGTCATTGGGGGGTTAGCGGAACACACTAGAAGAACCCTGAACACAAATGCTGCGCAAAAACTCTCTTCCTGGACACCATGCCTTCCCTAACCGGCCTCTACTTCTGCCCATTCACCTTTGAGGGAAGAGCAAACATGCGGAAGACAGGAAAAGCAAGCGAGGCCCCGAGACAGGGTGTGATACGTGAGCAAGAGCGGCAGTGGGAGTGTGCACTGGAGGAAGCATGTGGGGCACAGGGCTGTTCCTGCCTCTCTGCCTCATGCTCCACCTCCAAGAACGGTAGCGGGGACACTCCCGAGACCCTGATATGCCAGAGGCATTACTTCTCCCCAGCAGCACAGCTTAAATTGCGGATGTAGATGCACTGCTGTGCTCCTCAGGTTCCCTGCTGCTCTGAGGCAAAAGACACCCATTTTCAGTGGGGAGGTTCATACATTCAGAACCAGTGTTTGTTTAAAGAGCCTACATTGAAATGATACTATATGGTAATTCTGGAGACCCCTCCCTCAAGGAACAGGAGCCACCTGCACCATGGGAGTCAAAAGTGAAGAAGGTATGTGGTCACCTCCCAAGATCAAGAGGCATCAGTGACAGGAGCTTTGATGGGGACAAGCCTCTAGGTGAGGTCCGCTGACAAGACAGGTATAGCTGGGGAGAGCTAGAGACCCTAAGGGCTTAATTACAGAGTTTGTCTTCTGGAGGTAAGAAGGGTAATTGAGAAACTGAAGAGAGAACAGTGAACAAACTCTAGAGCAGGTGAGACCCGAGATGGCAGTGGCCACGTCCTTGATCAGAAAACAGGGAAGGCTGAGCCTGGAAGCCAGAAAAACTTGACATAAGGAGCCCAGACCACACTATGAGACCAGGCAAAAGTCAGAACACAAGCCCCAGTGACAGAGGGAGAATTCAGCCATGGAAGAGACAGCCACACCACAAGGAGCCAGACACATGAACTCTGCAGGGAGAACATGCCCAAACAAAAGAGCAATCAAGAGCAGGCATCGGGCCCTGCTGGATACCACGGCAGAGTCAGCCCAGCCTGCTGCGGACTGATGACCCTCTGGGATAGGAGGCTGGGGCAGAAAGGCCAGACTGCAGACCCAGAGGGACATCTAGTAGAGTCCCACTGCCATCGTAATTCTGAGCTACACTGACAATGTGGTAACGCCTGGCCTTGGTCAGAGGGACTCTCCGTGTATCTGTGAGAAAAATAAAATCCTGGTGAGAGCTGCCAGGGTGAAACTGGGCTGAGAAGGGGGCAGAAGTCAAACTGAGGCCAAGGAAGGAGGGAGGCCATTCAATCTCCTGGGGACCAGTGCTGCCTGTCCTACTGCACTCACCACCAGCAATGCCAGAGACCAGGGTAGCAATACCCGAAGGGGGAGGACCCCGGAGCCCCTCGATCGTGCGCTTGGACTGGCTGTTCAGCCGCTGCTTCAGCTCTGCCTTCTCTGCCTCCAGCTGGTCGATGTCAGCCTGGAGTGCATCCATCGTCTCCTCAAACTCTCTGTGAAAGAGAATCTGGGCGTGGGCGTTGTCCCTTCCCTGCCACCCACTCCAACTCTCAGTCCTGACAGGTCCTTGGAGTAACCCTGCTGGTGAGGACTGGGGGCAAATACAGACTCAGACTGGGGTGATATGACAGGCTGGCAATGGGCAAAGGAAATGGCATCTGTTCCCCTGGGGAGTCTCACGATGAGAGGGCCTGGGGAGGGGTAGGTTAGGAGGCAGAGCTGCTGGCAGGAGGGGGGCCTGAGATAAGCAGGGCCCGGGGAAGTGCCTGACTTCTCCTTCTTCCGCAGCAGCGCCTGGGTCTCCTCCAGCCGATTCTGGACTTTCTCGATGCGCTCGTCTGCATCCTTGGCAGCGCTGTCCAGCTTCTTCTCCAGGAGGCTCAGCCTGACATTGGCCTCACTGAGCTCCTCCCCCTGGACAAGGACACAGAGCTTCTAATTGCTTTACATCCTCCTACAACCCCTCAGGGTCCCAGGACAGACCATGACATAGAAGGCTCCTTAAGGGCCCGCAAGAGCTCCCATTGATCATAGGCGCCACTTTTCCCCCTACCCCCAACCCATCTTCAGTTCTGATCCCCAACACTCATAGCTGCCCTGTGCCCCACAGCATTTGCTGGACCCCAACTGCTGATCCTACCCTACCCTCACCTTGATCTTGAGTGATTTCTTCAACTCCTTGATAACTGTCTCTCGATCTTCAAGCTTCAAGCCCAGGCCTTCAGCATCTGTGATCTCTGCACGAAGGGCTGCAGCCCGCAGCTCAACAGGGGGAGGCTAAGGGCCAAGGTGGGGAGAGGATATCACCAACGTGCTGCTTCCAGAGAAATCCAGTTCTTGACTTCTAAGCAGGATGGTGCTCTCGATTCCTTCCTCCACCTCCCAGCCCTCCCACAACTAGCAGCAGCTCTGCAAGTCCTATTCCTCCAGGCCTCAGGAGCCCCTCCAAGGAGCTCCCACCCACCTTGCTGGGGGGCCGCTCTGCATCGTACTCTCCCTCCTGCATGGCTGTGGCCAACTTGTTCATGGTACTGATGAGGATATTGCATGACTGACGCAAACACTCATAGGGGCTGCTGGAGGGGCTCCCATAGATCTGTAAAAGCCAAGGCCAGTAGTAAAAACCTCACACTGGCCACCTGACCCCTCTACCACCTTCTTCCCAGGCATCCAGGCCCACCTGCTCGCTTGCTTTGAAAGCCAGCTCCTCTAGGGCAGCCACAGGCAGACCCTCATTTTCTGCCAGGGGGGCGATGAGCTGGGCGGCAGCAGCTGCCACCTCCTGCAGCACAGCCACCACCCATGTCAAGTGTTTCCTGCAGTCAAGGAGTGTGTCGGATACCTGTGCAACAGGCCAGAGTCAGGAGCCCACCCTGTGTCCAGCACCATAGCTCCCAGCTACCTCAGAATCATTCTCGTCTCATCCAGACCCAGACCAGATGTACTAGGCCCCTCCCGAATCTACTCGGCTTCCTTTCCTTCCTCCCTCACAGCCCTAAACCTGTGGTCCAAAGGCCAGTGCGGCTGGGATCCCAGGAGCATCTGTCCCTGGCATTCGCCTTCGGATCTTCTTGCAAAACTGGCGGATGTCACTGCAAGATGTTTCCAAGTCCCGGAGCAGGAGGGCAATATCTGAAGCCTCCTGCCCACCCTACTCAAGGAATAGGAAATGGACGGGGAACAAATTCAGCATTAGGACTGGAGGTGAGGATGGGGGAATAAGAAGGCAGAGGAGCTCGAACAGGTCCACCTGTGCTCTCACCTGCAAGAAGGCACGCAGCCGTCCCACCTCCACGCCCATGCAGTCCAGGGCACTCTGGGTGAACTGCGAGGATAGAAGTATGTGCTTGTCAGCACCCATTGGAATCCTTCTGCCCTCTCATCATCTCTAAGAAGTCCCCACCTTCTGCTGACCCCCATACATAGGCAGGTTCCCTGTCTTCCCTAATCTGGCCTTAGTGACCCTTTTCCAGTTTTATGTGACAACATCAGGGCCAGACCTCCTGACCTGATGGTCTCCGTTTCTGATCTCTACATGGGTTTCAACCACCAGCCCAGACATTTCACCTTGATGTGGTCGGCCAACTGCATGGTACTGTCCTCAGGCTGTTCGGCAAGGTGGATGCTATACAGATGCTGAGAGATGACAAAGAAATAGATAGCCTTTAGGTATTGGAGAGATGGAGAACTCTTCCTCAACTGTAGTTTGAGCCCCAATCATCACAGGACTCGAGAGGTATGAGAGGACCCAAAACCCCCAAGGCTGCATCCTGAGGCGAGTTCATCTACAGCAAGCTGAGCCTCAAGACACACAACCTGGGCTACGCTGGCCATGGCCCCAGAAAGAGAAACCTTCCCTCCCTCCTGCACAAAGCCGGGATCCTCGCCCCAGACCTGGTAGTACTTGATGGCTTTAGTGAGAGGTTCAACATTGACAGTCTCATCCAGCTGGTCCTTGTGCAGCAGCTCAATGAGGAAGTCCAAGGAGCGCTCATGGGCACTCATCTCAGGGTACAGGCTGCCCACTTTCTTATACACATCCACGCTGCACTGAGACAGGGCACTGGAGACCAGAGAAGGGCCTGTGAGGCCAGGGTCTGCCAGGCAATCTCAGTTCCAGCCAACCTGGGACCGTGGCCTTGAAGGGAGGCTAGGGCTCACTTACTGCTCATAGCGGTGGAGTGTGGCCTGCAGCAGAGTCAGCGAGTACACCAGCCCAGCGGCAAAGCTGAGCTGCTCCCCCGCAGCTCCTCGAAGACCGGGCCGCTCTGTACAGTTCTCACTTAGTTCAAATTTCTCCTGAGCCTGCTTTCGAATCAGCTCTGCCTGTGGGAAGAAGTGCCAGGGATCTGGGGCTCAGAGCAGAGGATGAAGAACACAGACTCAGGAATACAGAACACAGAGCTGAGCAACTATGGGGTGGGGGGGGGCAGATAAAACAGAAACAGCTCTTAGATGGGCAGGAAGTCTCCAATGGGAACAGGGCGATGATGCGGTGATCTGGTGGCTGTGAGGATTTGAGATGTGGGGATGAAAGGACAGCGGGACCTGTGGGACCAAGCTCTTTCCTTGCAAGCTTAAAGCTGCTGCCCCTGCCACCCTTCCACTAGAATGCTACCTTGGCAATTATGTCCTCACTAATTCCTCCTCATCTTTGGGATCTCAGCCCAGATGTTATTCCTTCAGTAACATCCCTCCATCTATATCAGCTCCCCAATTGTGCTCTCTCAAAGAAGCTACTTCCTCTTTGTAACAAGCCATCTGTAATACACATCCATATGCAACTGTGTTGACTATATCCCTTCACTACATCATAAACTTTTTGTTAGCAGGGATGCTGACTGCTGGCTTAACTGGGCTTCCTCAATGCCTGCCTGGTTCACAGCAAGTTCAACACATTCCTGCTGAACGTATGACTGACTGGCCATACCTTGCAAATGAGACGAGGCATGAGCAGCAGCACGAGTACACAGTCATGGTCCCCACCCGGCCGAAGAAAACTGTCGGGCATGAAGGTTGTCAGCAAGGACATGTGCCGGTTGGCCTGGGCCACCTCCATCTGCCTCAGTTCCATCTCAATTGCCTATGTGGTGGATAGAAAGGCAGGCTCTCAGCCAGGCTGGAGAGAGTCCCAGACCCACCGTGCCTTGCTCCACCAGGTCCCCCGCATCTAGGACAGGCACATGCCAGAACTCTTCCAAACCATCACACAAAGCACCCCCTCCCCCAGGAACCCCACACCCAGTCAGTCCACAGCCACACTGAAGCTGGGCTCCCAAACATTCTCCTCTCCCCAGCCCACTTGCTTTTCTGACCTTGGCATGGGCCTTCGTCTCGGCAAATTTGATTTTGAAGTCAAAAGTCTCAGGGGGTGGCTGCTGCTGCCGCTCCACAGATGCTTCCTGCTGGTTTGTCAGTTCCCGATTCACATCCTAGGAGCAGAGACGGACAGTAAGACACAGCTGGGTCATGAGGAAGCCCTGGGGTGATCATGGGTGGAAAGCAAGGGGTGAACCGGCACCTGCAGGTGGGCAGTCAGCTGGCGGTACTTCTTGATGGTTTGCTGGTAGTCTGCAACTGTCTCCTGGGCTGCCTCCACACGCTTCTGGGCCTCCCGGACCCGGGCGCCTGCCATGTCCAGCTGCTCCCGCAGCTCCAGTTCCGTCTCGCGTGCATTCTCCTGCAGCTCATCATTCATTTCATTCATTGCTTCCTGGGAGACCACGAGGGAGTTGGGGCAAAGGAAAGGCAGGGTCAGCGCAGCAGGCCAGGGTGGGTCCACTCACTATACACTGTGCTCAAAAGTCAGGGGTCACATGTCAGTCCTTCTCTCAGCAAGTCCCTTTAAACACCCTCTGTCTGGGTCAGAAGTCAAGGTCTGCTCTCCTCTTACCAAGTCCCCCACGGTCTCTCTCAATTCCCGCACTTTCTCTTCTAGATTCAGGTTCCGGTCTGTCAGCATCTCCACCATCTCCTCAGCACCCAGAGCAGCATCCACCTGTGTTACAGGGAAGGAATGCGGAGAAGGGCTGCTAAAAGGTGTCTAGAGAGAGGAGGCACCTACAGGAGAGTCTGCGGGGGGAGGCTGGAGGGATCTCTGGGTGAGGGGCTGGGCTCCCCGACCTGCTCCTTGAGCTCATCGATGGTGCTCTCTGCCTGGGTCAGCTCCTCCTGCAGCCGCTCCCGCTGTTGCCTAACAACTTCCAGTTCTTGGTTCTTCTTTTCCATCAGTTTCTGGAGTTTCACATGCTCCTGCTTCTCTGAGGAAGAAAGATCCCGCATCCTGTGGGGAAGTGAGGAGAAGGGGGAGCCCATGTCAGAGTCACTGGGCAATGGGCGCCTGAATGCATTTGGATAGGAGAGTGGGCTCCAGAGCCCGGCAGTGAGGGGACCTACCTCACCAGGGCGTCCTTTAGGCGGGCGTTCTGCTCCTCGAGTTGCTTGAGTTGATAGCTGGACGCAGCCCCATCTGAGCCTGAGGAAAACCATGAACACTTTCAGACATGATTCTAACCCCACCATGTCTTTCCCAGCAGCTCCTGGCCCCTTACCCTTCTCTTCAATCTCAGCCTTGAGTATCTCCAAGTCAGTGGTGAGCTCGTCCACACGCTCCTTCAGTGCCTCCACCTCCTGCTGCAGGGACTCAGCCCGTTCCTCAGCCATCTCCTTGTCCAGAGTGGCCATCTCAATGGCATCGGCAGTGTCAGCCATCTCCTCCATGTAGCGTTCCTTCGCCTCCAGTGCCTCCTTGGCTTCCTGCGGGGTGGAGGTTGGTGGGACACAAGTACAGAGATGCCTCCCGTGCCCTCTCTCACAGAATGCTGAGGCTCCAGCTCCAGTTGAGTTCCAATACACTGTTTTGGACCCCGTGCCTCCCCAGCCACCCCTTTCCTCCCGAGTCGCACCTTCCGCGCCTCTTTGAGGCGCCGCTGCAGGTCGGCCTGCTGCTCCTGCATTTTGCTCTTCCATTCCTGCACCTGCTCCAGCTGGATCTTGTGTTTCTCCAACTCTTTTAGCTTTGCCTTGTCTTCTGCCCGTTTCAGTCGTAGGGTCTCCAGTTTCTCTTCCAGGTCCCGCACTTGGGCCCTCAGCCCCTCCTCCTCCTGCAAAGGAGAGACCCCTTGTTCTGTGCATAGTCTCCCCCTCCTCCTCGCCAAGACCGAGCTGGAGCAGAAAGGACAGGAATGTGTGCAAACTTCATTCCAGCCCCAGGGTCAAAAGCAAGTGACTATATAAACATCTAAGAAGAGATCAAAACATATGTGGAAGGTGTAGCAGGAAGGGTAGCTTAGTCAATGGCAGGATCCCAAATGCTATGTCCCCACCCTTCTGATCCAAATTCTGGAATTCCCCCAGCCCGAGGAAATGTCCAAGACCTGCCAGGGGTCGCAGGCCCCTTTGTGTCTTGGTTCATCTTCACTCCAGCCCCAGTCCTTACCTTGGAGGGGGAAGGAAGTGGGGGTGCTGCTCCAGGAGAGGTGAGGGCCGGCGTGGGGATGATGGGTGCTGCCAGCGGAGTCTGAGCCGGGGTGCTGGGCTCACTGCTACTCAGCTCACCTGCTGATGCCGAGCCAGAGGGGCCCAGGGAGCTACTGGCTCCGGCTGCCCCAGTACTACTGGCTGGGCGGGCGGGCTATTCACAGAGGGTAGGGGCAGACCAGAAAGTAAGTAGAGGACAGGCGCAGTGAAAGAACAAAAGACAGAATATGAAAATATGGCGAGGGAAGGAGGCAGAAAGGGAAAAAGACAGAGTATCAGAGCACAAGAAGAACAGAGTGAAGGGGAGGAGGAAAATGACACAGAGTCAGAGATAGTGACAAAGGACAGAGGAGGGAGGGAGGGAGATAGAGGGGAGGGAGAAGAAGGGGTGGAGGAAGACATAAGATTATAAGACTCCTTCCTTGGCACTGACCCCACATTCCTCCCAGCTCTGGCACTACCCCCTTAGAGCAGGATCCCTTACTCGCCAGAACTCTTCTCCGTGACCCACTTCCATAGCCGTTTAATACTCCCAATCCTGTCACTGCTCTGGGCCTACACCCTCCTTCCCCCGAGATAAATGCCTCAATGTAGACTGCAATTTGTTCCCTTTCATGTTTCTAGAGAAGGCTGGGCTAAACGCGGGGGTACCAGGCTCTATATCCCTGCTAGGCCCTCCATGCTCTTTAGGAGTCAAGCTGGCTCTGCCTCCCCTTGGTCTACTTCAGGGGACCCTGCAGGTAAAGGGGCCAAGCCGAAAGTTGCATTCATAGACTCCCCTTGAAACAAGGTCAGCACAGCCAGCCCTTCTGCCATCTCCCTGCCCAAAGACAGAGGCTCTAATCAGGCCCCACTACCCGGGCCTGTGGAGGGCTGGGGTAGAGAAGCTGCCCTGAAGCCCCTGGCCCTGGAGCAGAGAGGCCGGCCCAGCGCTCTCCGCGCAGTGCTGAGCGCTGAAGCTCTCCTGGTGGGCCGGCAGACACTCAGAGACCACGGGTACTGACAGACACACTCGCCTCCTTATCCCCTGACATCTGGAAGGCCAAGTTCTTCTTCACCACTCTTTCAATCCCTTTCCTCATCAAAACTAGTCAAAACGCCCTTCTTCAAGCAAGTCTGCCTTAATTAACCACAACTACTCTCATTTCTCTTTCGCACTTAAGCTACTGGCTCAGGCATCCTCCCAAAAGTCAGAAGTCATTTTCCCAGGAGTGACCTGTCACTGCCTTCAGTCCCTTCTCTCCCATGAAAAAAGCACCCAGGATGCACCGTGACCAACTTTTACTTGGCCATACACATGCCCACATACATGCACATGCCTGAAACGTGTGTACACTCTACAATGGCTTGCATAGAGGCCTGGTTTTTCTCACCTTGGGCCGCCGAGTTGTGGTCTGGACAGGCAACAGGAGCCAGAGGAGAAGTAGTCAGGAAAGAAAGGATAATGGCACAAAGACAGACAGCAAAAGGGACAGCAATAAGAGCAGAAGTAGTAACAGGAATGGGGCTACGTTTAGCCATGCCCCCCCCATGACCTCCCCATTCCAGTGAATCACCTTGTTCCTACTCCAGGAACTCAGAACTCTGTTCCCCACTGGTTCCTCTCCCACTTATGCCCAACCCTTGCAGACCTCACCCCTTCCAACACTGAAATCCCAGAACCCTGGTCTCCTAGGCTGAACCACAGGAGACCAAAGGCAGCAGCTGGTGGAATTGGTCTCCAGAGACCAGGCCTTCTGCAAACAACTTCTGACACTCCAGCCCAGAGCCAGAGGCCCTGCCCACCCCACCACTCCCTAGGACTTTCCCAGATCAGGCCCCTTCCTCCAAGTGCCAGATCCCACAGAGGACCCCCTAGAAATACCATGTAGACAAGACTGATGATGACATGAGCCCCAAACTGGATGATACAAACTCAGCAGAGGGAGATGAGGCCCCCTAGACAGAACGCTGCTGTCTTCCCTGCCCCCACGCTCTACACCCTCCTCCCTCACCCAGGAACAGATCCTGTGGCAGTCTCCATCCCTAGGGCAGAGGGCTCAGGTGTCAGGACCATCAATACTGCATTAGCCAGAAGCTCAGAGCTTAGGAAAGTAACCCCACCCTGCTGCAAGAAAGGAGGTGGGAGCGGGCAGCAGCATCCATAAACTACTGCCCTAAATCAAATCCAGAAGCCCCTCAGGTTACTGCAAAGTTGTAAATGGATGATTAACTCCAACTCCCAAGTAGCATTCTTGATACCCAGTATCTCATGGCTCCAGCAAAGACAAGATTTGGCTTGGGTCTAGTTTCTAGGAGACACGGAGCCCAAGGAGACCAACCCCCACCTCTCCCACCCTGAGCTAAGCCTCCACAGCTGTATATCAAAAACTATTCTAGGGTCCTCATCTCACCCTGGGAAAAAAACCCCTTTATATAAATCCCGGTGGGGGAAGGGTGCTGGGAGTACAACCAACAGTCATTCTAGCAAAGGTCAAGGGAAGGAGGCCTGCTAGAGGCCTGGAGGCATCTGGACCTGCTTCCCAGATTCTCTTACAGGAAACTCCCAGAGCTGCTTTGCAGCAGAAGCTGCCTGATCCCCAAGCTTGTAAGACCACTGGGTACAAGGCCCAGAACACAGACCCAGTCTGAGCCAAAAGCCAGCAGGGCAAGGAGCGAAATGCCCAGGGCGTGGGACATGGGAGTGACATACAACTCTCGCTGCCCCCACCATCATCTCTACCCTCCTCCCCCAACCAGGTAGACAGATGAAGTCAATCAGCCTCCACCCCCACCCCAGCAGCCTGCTGCCACCATCGCCCTGGCAACCCAGCAGCAGGACCAGAACAAGCAAGAGTACCTTTCGGGCTGTCGGTGCCTGTCTCATCATTGCAGAAAACCAAAGAAAGCCAGGAAAGAGGAGGGATAGAAGAGGATGGACACACAGAGGAAGGACAGATGGAGGGAGGGAGGGAGGGAAAGAGACCAAACAGAGGGAAAGGCGGCGGAGACAGGAGATTAGTGCATCAAATCCCAACAATGCAGCCTGAGCTTCCTGACCAGCAGCTTCCCCGCCCGCAAATGGCTGCGGCACAGACGCAGAAGCCCCACAGATTCACACAGGGACAGCCAGGCTCCTGCAGGCACCAGACAGGCGCCCGGCCCAGTTTTCCAGCTTAGGCTTATGGCAGCCTCAGTGGCCGCAGCACCAGCTCCACCTGACGTCATGCACCCAACCCTCTTCTGCTCCTTGGGGGTGGAGCCACTGCTCCTCGGTCACCTAGCAACCACCTGACTCTGCTGGCTCCTCCTCCTTCTCATGACTGGACAAAGTCCTGCGCAGAGCCCGCCCTGCTTCTTCCTCCTAAGAACAAGTTCTGGCTCCTCCCTCTCCTCTCTCCCCGACCCCCCTAAGTGTTTGTTCCAAGAAACTGGGCTAGGGGCCATTCCAGAAATGGTACCCTCTGGGGCCAAGGCATCACTGCGCAGGGGTGCAGGGTCTCACTGCTCCATCAGCCTCGCTCTTCAACGCCACCAATTCTACTTCTGTCTCTTCTCATGAGTCACACAAACCCAAAGCAGCCCTCTTGCATCAGCATCAGCTCTGAGGGGCACACAGTGAGACTGAGAAACCTTAGGGACCTTCAACAACAGCTCTAATGACAGTGTTTGGATCCTCTCCCAAACCCTCCCCTGGCTTTAGGCAATTTAAAGTCTGTCTCCAAAGGGCTTCTAGAAAGGACTGGGCACTTTGCAGAGACATCTGGGTTCTTTTGCCCTCCCTCTCAAAGTACATTCTTTTGTTCTGGAGTTAGCTCCCTGCTCCCCAGCGGGTATGAGCAGGGGCCCGTGGCTCAGAGATCTGCTGTGAGAGAACACTGGAGGGGGAGACCTGAGGGGGACTTTACTTGACCGACACTGCACCATGAGCAAAAAGGTGCTACAGCCCAGCTCAGGCAGCTCCGGCTGGGCTCTGCCACAATTCTCCAGGCAGCGGCCACACCCCCAGAATTTGGGCACGGCTCAGGCCCTGCCAACATCAGGTCCGGCTGTCGCCAGAACTCCTCCACAGACATCACACTGCAGGCCCATGCTCTTCTCTAGGGGCCTGATGTGACAGAAGAGTAATCAAGGGAAGAAACCAAGTTTCTACGACCCTGGAATGGGCCCAACATCATTTAGACTAGCATTATTTTCCTTCTTACATCTCCATTCCCACCCAAGCCAGGACCCCAAAGCAAGTACCAGCACGTGGTCTGTTCCATGGCAAGACTTCAAGGTGGGGCCCATCACCAACCAGGAGTTGAAAGGAAGATGTTTTCCTCTCCCCTCCCACTGCCCCCATCCAATAGCTCTCCATGCAAGTCAGAAGGGCCGAAGATAGGCTGGCGACAAGGAAACCACAGAATCATACACAGCACAGTACACAGAGGTCAGACAGGCACATGCAGGTCAGAGGCAGCCTGGGCACAGGCCCAAGGCAGGGGATGGTGTGAGGAAGTGGTCATGGCAGCGCCTGAAGAGTTGAGCCGCACTCCCAATAATGGGTGATGGCAAGCTGCAAAAGGTAGGCGGTGGGCCTCAGGTCCAACACCAGAAGAGGAGGGAAAGACTACGGGATGAGAGTGAAGGTGCGCACTCATGGCAGTGCCCACCCAGAGGGAGGCACACCGACTCTCAAGCCTTCCAATGTGGGGCTGATCCTACTGTGATCCTGACCTCCTGCCTCCTTCCCCAACCACGTCACTGGCACTTCTGCATCCCTAGCTCTCCAGTCTCTCCTCTCGCTGCCCCAAGCTCGGGCTAAAAGAAAACCCATCATAATCCAGTAAAGGCTCTATTCCATGCTGCTGCTATTTACAGTCAGTGATGGCAGTCTCTGACTAGAAGTTCTGAGGCGAGGAGGTGTAGGGATTGTCCTAGTGAATGCTACCTGCGCCTGGACACTAAGCCTAATATCCCTGCAGCCCCTCAAAGGAACTCTGAAAGCCAAGGCCGCCATTTCCTCTGGCCATCCCAGCCCAGGGTCACACACACAGGCATGCAGCAGCTGAAGACATGCAGGACAGCTGGGGAGCGGGCTCACGGCCCTCGCCCGCCCAGGCACAAATAGTAAACACACCACCTTCTTAGGCTTCAGTCCCCGCTGCATGAGGGGTAGGAAAGGGAAGAGTTAGAGAACAGATGTCACACTGTGCTAGCCGGCCAGACATCCTGGGTGTAAGTATTAACACCAACTTAGGCATGACCTGGTAAAGAGGAAGTCAGGTCACTGTGAGGCTCGGGGTAAGTAAGATGGTGGGGGGGGTCCCTCAACAATCAGCTTCTAGGATGTCCACACGCTGGCCCAGAGAAGCTGGAGTCTGAACCCCACCTCACACACCCTGTGCAGAGCAGCAAAAGTGAGCCAGGATGGCCCCTCTGCATATCACCTAAAACAGGTGACAGAGGGCCCAGCTCCTTACCATTCGCTTGTGGACAGGAAAGCTCCTTCCTCTAGCTCCTACCTTACCCTTTCTCTCACACCCTTTAGATCTTGGCAGCCTTGGGTACCAAAGGGCAGGAAGTTGACAATAATATACTAGGGTCAGACCTGTCCTTCCTATCATCCCATTTGACCCTGAACTTTTGGGCCCTAACAGTTCTTCCCTGATACCACCTTTATTCATCCCTAAAACAGTAACTCATACCCAGAAAACTTCCCTCTCAAGAAGGATGGAGACTAGAAGGCTAACTCGGTTTACTTACCTACTGCTTCTACCTGCCTGGCATTGGGTCTCCCTCCTCTCTATATCCTTCCCCTCCTCTCTATTACTTCCCGCTCCCACCCCCAACCACTCACCAGTTTGCTGGTCTTTGTAGCTGAGTCGGTTCCCTCTGTAGAAAGCAAGAAAACGTTATGGTGGATAGGAAAGTTATAACAAGAGAAGATGGCAGTGATGGAAAATCTCAGGATCCACTGTGGCCCCATGTACTGGGAGAGGTCCTGGGGATTCTCAGACGCAGAGTGGCAACTTAAGTGGGTGGTTGTTACCTCTTTTGAGGGCCTTTGAGGCAGAAGAGTCAGGGGTCTCCGGGGAAGTAGTATCTGCTCCATCTTCAAACACTTGGATCTGAGGCCACAGAATAGATTCAATATAGCCAGATCAAGAATGTTATGCTGTACTATGGGCCTGTTCCCAGGCCCCAAGCAAACCTGGTATACGGGGCAGCTTCTCTAAGGATGTATCTCCAATCTTCCCTCCCCTACAACCTCCCATTCTCCCAATCAGAGACATATGCTCATGCCCAGAAAAAGGGAGCACCACCACACCAGCTGCACATGCAAGAGAGCATGTGAACACACGTGTGTGTACACATGCATGCATGTGGATGCACACACAGAGACACAGAAAAGTAGGGTGTGAGTACCTGAGACTGGCGCACAAAGATGCCGTGCCCTTCATCACAAGTGAAGTACTTCCTGCCTTGGACAGTTCCATCATTCTTGCCCTTTGCTTCATCCAGGATCACACCTACCCATTTGCCAGTGGCGAAGAGTGTGGCTCCAACATAGGCCACAGTGCCTCGGTGCCCTTTCCCGATCACCTCCACTCGGGAGCCCACTCGCAGAGGCCGGGCGCTGGCCTCTGCACTCATCCTGCTGCTGCTGGGTGTCTGAAAGACACATGCAAACATACACAGTTAAAGGCCTCAGGCCAAGGGTGTCACCCTAATGCATAAAAAGGCCCCAGTCGGATCCCGGACTGAAAGAGAACCAGGAGTCACTTCCCTGAACCTCATTCACAGCGTGAAGTGGACCCTCAAATTCCCTTATGAAAAATGTCAGTGACGTGTTCTTCTAAGACTTCTCTAAGCTCCTTGGGAATCTGCCAGAATTTTTAAGAGTTTATATTTAAATTTTATAACAAATCAGAATTCATCAATAGATCTGTGAATGTCACCGCATGGCTGCTTTCTCAGGAGCACTGTCCCCCGCCCGATAAGGGAATGAAGCTCAAGCAAATAACTCAGTTTAGACCAGGCTCCCAACAACTCAATGCTCTGACTCGGGAACCTGAGCTGGAAAGATAAGCGATTCAGTAGGTGACCCCAGTGAATCCTGTTCCCCTCTCCACTGTCACCTGTCTTCCCTGTGTTCAAACGGCGCTCTCAGGCCTCTCCTTCCCAGAAGCACACAACTGTGTCTCCTTCCAGCCCTCAGGTCACCACTACTCCTTCCTGACCCGACTCCCCCGACACCCATCCACACACCTACCACAACACTCCTGGCTGCTTCACCCATTCAACCGTTTAACTCCCTTTTTCCTGACCTGAGTACTAGTCTATCAACTCTCTACCACTCAAGCTCTAGAGATCCTTCCCCCATGTTATTCTGCTACAAAAAGTAAAACAAAGGCCAGGTATATCAGGTACCTCAGATCTGTCCTACACTCTGCCCCCAACACTCTGCCCAGTGGTCCAAATGAATGGCTTATCATCCTGAGGATGGACAAGGCAAAAAAAGAGACGAAACACTGTCCTTGGGAAGCTCCTGGCTTGACACACTGGTGATGACAAGACACAGCATGAAATTAGGTCTCAAATAGGCCCATGGTTTAGAAAATCACACCTGAGCCATTTTCAGCAACAGCAGCTCTGTGAACCAGGGGGCTTGCAGCAAACAAATGAGTGAGGCATGAGGAAGTGACGCCCTGGTCCTAAAGACTCCACGAGGCTCCCTCCCGATGCCCCCACTTGGCTTCAGAAGGGAGCCCTGCCAGAGCCTGTCACTCCCTAAGCCCTTTCCCCAAAGAGCTTATCCAGGAAGGTGAGAAAGGTTAGCAGCTCCCAGGGGCTCCAGGACCCCAAATCATACCTGGGATATGCAGGGTGTCTCTTGTGGACCTATCAACAAAAGGAGCTGACAGTGACATCAAAGCTGGCCCCAAACTTAAGAGACTCTCCCCAACCTCCCAACCCTAATAAGCCTCTCAGTACCAGGTGGACACAACAGTGGGTGCAGATTCAATCATAGCCAGAAGAGAGAGAAAAGCAAGTGACAAACAACAAAGCAGCTCTAAAGAAAGGCTTCACTGTAAAGCCCTTCCAATCGACCGACCCCATTCAGAGTCCCAAAGACAGTCTAGCCCCCTTCTCAGAAACTCCTACCCTGAGGTCCAGTTAAAGTCAAAGGTCAGGCCTCACCAGTCTCCACTGAGGACTCGACTCTGGGAAGGGAAGCCAGTCCAGCCTAAGACTATCAGGGCTGCAAGTGGCCCCATCCCAGCTCCAGCCTGTCTCCCCAGCCCCCACAGCCATGTCCACAGGCCCCCCAGGCCTTTCAGCAGCCCTCCCAGGGCCATCCCAGATCAGGGCCACTTACCCGGCTATACACGTGCCTCTTGCTCTGGGCCATGTTGCTCAAGGCCTCTACCCCCTCCCCAGCTGGCCAAAGACAGAAAGAAAAGGCAGAAACCTAGGCAGGAGGGTCAGGGCTCCAGGCCCTCATGGACAGACACAGAAGCTATCGGACGTGGCCCTCCCCAATCCATGGATCTGCTGGGATGGGGTGGGGACAGAGATGGGGACTGAGGAGCAAGTCCCCTCTGCTGCCCGAGGATTCCTGAACCCAGAGACACTGAATCCTGCTTGCCAGCTGATGAGTCTCACTCTGCGCTAGTGCTGCTCTAGACTTGTCAGGAACCGTGCTAGCCTCTGGGTCCTAGTGCCCCCATGCTTCACCTGGGCCAGACCACAAGGGCAGGGACTAAGAGGCTAGGCCCAGCTACAGACCTTCAACACTCATCTCTACGGTACACTGTCCTAGGGCTAGGAGTATAGCCCTAACGTTCCTCCTAGATGGCACCCCCTCACCACACTGGCCCTCCCCTAGGATATGAGGCCTCAGCAGGCCCAAAAGCAGCAAGTTGACACTCCAAAACCATCAGCTACCCACGGCCTCCCTACAGCCAAAATAGGGGCCTTTCACCCCCCTTTCTGGTGCTCTCTCCCTCCTCTCTCTGAACTCTGGATTCAGGGCCCAAACCCATGATAATAGGGTCTAGATTTCAATCTCACACAGGGCCAGAGGAGGCAGGCACTGCCTAATACCCAGCAAAGGAAAGGCGGAACCAGACGCAACAACAAAGCAAAGCAAGTCCACACTCCAGTCCCTCCATGCTGGCAAAGGCTGACAGTCACTCTTCTCCCTTCTGGCTGTTAGGATGTGAACCCTAGGATAATCAGGTTCAACTGAATTCATAAGGATCAGTAGCACAAGGCCCAGTTTACCTTGACTACCTGCTCCTTGTACTCTTGGCCTTGCCTCCTAGGCATCTCCTTAACAGAAATCACAAAATGGTTTATTTTCTATATTTCTGTAGTTCACAAAATTCTTTAACCATGCATAACTTTTATAATGAAAAATGTTTAATTTAATAAGGTTGTGCATTCCAGGGAAAGGTCTCTGGAGGCTATGTAACAATACCACTTCATTTGTTTACCCATCTAATGCGGGCTAGGAACCAAAAGATCAGGGTCCCTGCCACTAAGCAGCCAACAAGGTTGGCCTAGGGTCTGACCTATGGCTCCACGGGGTGTGGTATGATCTAGAGCTACTGGGCCTAGAGATACCTGACTGGTCTAAACTAGGCTTCACTGGGTCTTCCTCTACTCCACCCTCTTTCTAAGGCAAGCCAGATAGCCCTTTAATAGTAGAATGGTAGCCAACAGCCAGATCTAAGGTCCCAAAACACCTTTCCACATCTTCAATCTTTGCCAGATCCCCCCGGAAACCATTTCTCTCCACCCCTGCAAAACCTCCATGTTGCCTCCTTTGTTTCCTAAACACCATTACACAGGTAGAAAGAGCCATGCAGGTCCTTGCAGCATGGACCCCACATGTTCAGAACACTTTACAGTCTACAGAGCATCTTGGTTTTAGACTCAGGCTGTTTATGTCCAATTCCTGGCTTCACCACTTGGTAGCTACATATATTTGGTCCAGTTACTTAACACCTCTGTGCCTCAATTTCCTCATCTGTCAACTGGAAACAATCAAAGAACATATCTCAGAGAGCTGTTGTGAAGACTAGCTGAGATAATCCATGTAAAATACTTAAAAGCATTGCCTGGTATTCAGTAAGCATTCAACAAAAGTTATCTAATAACAATGTTATCATCATTATATTTGAACACCATAATAACACCATAGAAAGGCAAGCCAGAGACAATGCTGACAAGGAAACTGAGGCTTCGAGGACTGGGCCACTTCCCTATAGTTACACAGAAAATAAGGAGTGGACCCAAAACTGGAACCAAAGCCTGAACTAAACCCTCTGTACATCCTCACTGTCATCACACAAATCTCTAGGCTTCCGAGGCCACGCTGTTCCTCACAGACAACAGTGCCTTCAGAGAGTCCAAAGAGCTCAGATCTAAGAGCAACCTCACAACTCACTGGCCACACAGGCATACGCAGTCACCTAACTTCTTGGAGACTGTTTCTTCTTTTATAGTATGGGAACAATTATCTACATTAATGTTATAAGGCTTAAATTAGATAAAGTACATTAAAATGCTTTGTAAAAAGTACAGAAGTTGTAGAAGTGCAAAGAATTATCTGACGTGACCACAGATGGTATGTCAGTCTTCAAATTAAACATCTAGACAATAGATATTATGAGAATTACAGACAGGACAAAGGTGAACTAAAAAGAAGAAGGGTACCCAACTGTGCCTCGTACTTTGGGGTGTTTTTTTTTATATGTGGAGAGGAAAAGACTTACAAACACTTCATGCTGTGAAAACAGTATGAGTAGAGACAGAAACAATTTTGCTTCACTAGGGAATATCGAAGAACACTAGCTGGACAGGAGTGAAGAATTCGAGATGAGCTCTATTAAATTACAAGACTCGTAAAGCAGAGCCCACAACTTTTCCTCTTCATGATCCCCTCACCCTTAGCTCGTGGAGTCAAATATTTATTGACTAAGTGAACACATTAATATTGAGATATATTAGAAGATAAGTATGGCTAGTTAAGCAGTTTAACGTCACATAGATAGATGGACTTGATCCAATAACAGGAAGCCAGTCTCTTCCTGAGCAGGAGACTAGCATAATGAAAACTATTTTAGGGAGATCAAAGAGAGCAGGATGGAGTGGAGACAGCAGCAACTTCATAAGGATGGGGATAACATGCCAACTGGTGTGGCTCAATTGGCTGGGCATAGTTTCACCAAGTGAAGGTTGCCTGTTCAATTCCCGGTCAAGGCATGTGCCTGGGTTGCAGGGCACATGCCTAGGTTTCAGGTTCAGTCCCCAGTAGGGGCATGTACAAGAGGCAACCGATCAATGTTTCTCTCCCTCCCTCCCTCTTCCTTCTAAAATAAATATTTTTTTTAAAAAATGGGGATAACAGCAAGGGGTCTGCTGCAATAATGAGCAAGAGGTAAAGATGGTCTGAACCAGGCTCCTGAGAGAGAAAAGGGAAAGGGCCCATTATGGACAGTACCAAGAAGCCCTGGGAAGGCATGCAGACAAAGCAGACAGGGGGAAAGAGGCAGCAGGCCTGCATGGGCTCCGGAGACAGACAGACCTGGGTTCAGCTTTGGTGGTCCTACTTCCTCATCTGTATGGCTCTGGTCAAGATTAACTCAGAGCCCTGGTTACCTCAGCTGAAAAAGGAGGGAAATAATGCCCACCTCACAGGGATGCAGTGAGTACTTAGTAAGATTGAAGGAAAGCATTTTGCACAGTGCCTGGCACAGAATATGTGCTCAAGGAATTATAGACATCACCTTCATTACTATTGAGAGGGTGCATCAATGCTGACTTGTACACAGTAGGAACTTAAATGTTGCATAAATAAATGAATGCACAAATAAGTGAATCAATGAATAAACTTGGAAGTTTTCAAGCACGAGCAATGGAAGAATGATGACTGAAAACATTAACAGAATTGGGTAGAGAGTGGAAATTTTCAATTAAAAATATTTAAAAATAAAAGAATTGGGTAGGGTGATGGGCCTCCTCTGGGCAAATTTACCTGCGTATGCACACTAACACAAGTACTTCACTATTTCCTTCCAAAATGTGGCTGTCATGCAGACAAAACAGATTCCATTATCACCAACTGACAGGTTATGGACTTGAGCCTCAGAAGTCAAACCGCTCACTCTTAGTCTCCTGGCGAGAAAATGTCAGGGGGCACATTTGACAGGTATGCAGTCCCTCCACAGCACCTCTGGGCCCCACCTCATGTCACATAGGACAGGTCCAAGTTACATGTTCCCTCACTAGGAAAAAAAGATACTCCCTGGATTTCTAATACATTTTCCCCATCAACAATATTAACTACTACTAAAATGTCTAGGAAAATGGGAAGAGAGGAAGAAAAAATCTGTCTCTGATAAACAGGTTACTAATGGTCTTGGAGGACATTTAAGAATCTGATAGGAAAACAGGTAGGTTATTGGGAATTCAGGAGGAAAAAAGTAAGGAGGAAAAGCCTTCGGCACCTAGCCTGTACCATTTCTACCTTGCTTTTACTGGCACCCTGGCATCCTTTGAGCCCTTGACCTCTTTTTCTCTCCCCTCACCTAACCTTGCCGTGGGCTAACCCAACTGTTTGCTTTTCCTGATCCCACCGTAAAGCTGTTCTGAAATCCAGGCAGTCTACAGTGGGGTCCACACACTTGAACTGACATACATTAGGCACTGGGCATGACTAGTTTGGATATAGAGATATAATGAAATACAATGGCAATTAGCAAGAACCAGATCTTTTTTTAAAAAAGATTTTATTTATTTATTTTTAGAGAGAGGGGAAGGGAAAGGAGAAAGACAGGGAGAAAAACATCAATGTGTGGTTGCTTCTCAAGTGCCCTCCACTGGGGACCTGGCCCACAACCCAGGCATGTGCCCTGACTGGGAACCAAACCAGCGATCCTTTGGTTCTCAGGCCCATGCTCAATCCACTGAGCCATATTACCAGCCAGTGCTAGAACGAGATCTTCCAAAGACTAAAAATGTACATCTCTGAAAGCATTAGTAGGGAAGGGGTAAGTGTGGAGGCGGAGGGGGTGGGGGGCTGGAAGTTTGGAAGGCTGGATTCCAGATACACACAGGAACCCAGAAAGGAGACGCATACTGAGCCTTTTGTTCCTAGGTCCTACTCCTGTTTCTGCTTTACAGATCTCACACAGAGGGCCTCGCCCCTAAATGGACTTTTTTTACCTCTGGCTCCTCATTATCCCCAGACACATTTGCAGCTGGCTCCCAATCCGCATGCAGCTCTGTCTACCTCCTGGCAAAGTATCCCCATACTCCAGGGATACCCAGTGCCTGCCAGGCCAACCTCCAAAGGGTCCGGACCTCCAAGAGCCAGCAAGGAAAGCTACACAACCTGCCTCCCTCATCCTCGATGAAGGACCTTTTGCAGGCAAGAGGCACTGGAGTGCAGGGCTGTACTCAGGAACTGCAAACCTCCCAGTACTGGCAGGAGTCCTACTTAACAGCCAGTCTGAAGTTCCTGCTGGTTCCTCCCCATGAATCAACCAGTCAGTCAGTCCCTGGCACTAGGACCCTGCAGACAGGGAACCCTGAGCCTGCGCTCTAAAAAGAGAGATGCACCATTTCACAACTTCAG